CAATCCCTTGAGTTCCCTTCGCATTGTGTGTGTGTGGAAATGCTCTTACTTTCACTATTAAACATAGCCCTGAGTTCTACTGTTGTTTTTCTTCGATTTGATCTCACCAAATGTTTAAGTGATCGCCGATCACGATCATTGAGGATTTTTTTCCGGCCACATTTCTTCCTCGAAGACGATGGGTCCCCACTATCCTTCCAGTTTTTAATAATGCGTTGGACAGTTCTTAACCCAATTTTAGTAGTTTCTGCAATCTCCTTAGATGTTTTCTCTGCTTGATGCATGCCAATGATTTGACCCTTCTCAAACAGACTAACATCTTTTCCACGACCACGGGATGTGTCTTTCGACATGGTTGTTTAGGAAATGAGAAGCAACTCATTGCACCAGTTGGGGTTAAATAACTTGTTGCCATCTGAAAGATAATCGCCCATGCAGTAATTATCCAATAGGAGGCTCGTACCTATTTGCTTAGTTAAATCCAGGTGGTGACTTTTTTTTTGGCCAGGCAGTGTATATATTCATTCCATCAGCACACCTAATGAATGGTTCAGCTCCAAAAACAGCTAATCAACTGGGGCAGGCCACAAATAAATGAGTGTGTGGGAAACCCTGGACAATAAAATTCTAATTTAAGTCAGAGAGTTGATACCAGAAGGGAACACATAGAGAAATATTAGGAGTAGCATGGACAAGCAGCAAAATTTTCTCACCGTTTATTTAAAATAAAAAAGTTCCACCAAAAGCAAATGTACAAATGCGGTAGTACAACAACAGAAATACCAGCGAAAGCAATTAAAACTGAGCAAAATCCGTATTTAGATGGGCTTGATCTTGAAGTGTAGACCGATGAGACTGAAGACGAGACATTTCAGATCTTGCACAAGGTAGTAGAACACACGAAGACCTTCAGGGTCCCTGAAACACAAAGTTAAAAGTTAAGTCCTGTTGTCAGTGAAAAATATACTTATTTATCATTTGTTAGGATCCCCATTAACCGTGCCATAAAGCAGTGCTTCCCAACTGGTGGGTTGCAGGTTCGTTCTGAATGGAGTGTGTCTAAGTACAGTGAATCTCTGGCACAGAGCTTTTATTTTGAAGCACTGTAGATTGAGTGACTAACATACATCTGTTTGACAGAGACGGCTAATGAGCTCAATGACATGGTCAACCGGCAGTATAACGCTGAATATGTTAAACTGTTTGGACCTTGAACTAATAAGTAAGGAGAAATCTAGACTAGTTGGGAGTCACTGCTCTAAACAGGAAGTCTTCCTGGGGTCCACATTTAAAAATATACATTAAACATTACAGTCAACACAAACAGCAAACACAAGACACATTAATATTCATGAGAAAAATTTGCACTGGTGTGTGTGTATGTATGGACAAATACTGAACACTGAAAACACTGACTCAACATATTTCCCAGTAAAAACTACAAATCCTCAAATGCATTGCTTCCTACAAACATGATGCTCCAAGATGTTTGCTTTTCAAACATTGATTTCTGTGTAAATTTAATCAACACAGGAAAAGTTTTCATTGCTCTATATGCTACTGTGCCTTTAAGTACATCAGCGTTTGCCTTGGAGAGTGGAAACTGGCAGTTAGAGCTCATGTGCCGATCGAGCATACAGCCTGTTGCAGCTGGTGCTGCTCGTTACCCAGCTTCCACCTGGGGATCAGTTAAGTATTTCTGATTCAGTTGCCTCTTTGGTGGCATATTTATGACTCTTAATTGTCTTTTAATAGACTGCGTAACTTCACACGTTGGAAGTAGGAGTGCAGTGATCAGACCAAAGACCCAAGAGTCCTGGATGAAGTACTCACTTTGACTGGTTGACATCAATCAAGGAGCCAATTTTGGAAGTTGTGAATGAAATGTGCTCGTCGCCAATGACGATTTCCAGTTCCTGTGGAAATTTGGACAAAAACAGGTAAGTTATTTTTAAGTCTCTACAAACTTTTTGGTCAAAGTCATCAATGAATAGTTGATTTACTACAGTGCAAAATCTGTGAGCTCTCAGACACGATGCCCATGTGATCACCATTAAAAGAAATACCAATGGGTTGACCAAATTTTGAAAGGTGGACTGCTCTGTGTATGCCATCAAACTTTGTGACACTTTTGATTTAATATTAGGGCATGATATGGTCAAAGCTTTGAAATGTTTGGTCTATGGAGTCACTATTTTGAGCACAAAAAATAAATACATTTTGTGACCACAGCAAAAAACCTTTTCTAATTAGGTCACAAAATCTGAGAGGTCACAGAAAGCAATGAAGACACGTGCATGATGGTACACAAAACACTGACATACACTGATTGGTATTATGGCACCATTACATCAACAGTTTCAGAAGATAAATTTGCAGTTACGTTACTTCACATGGGAGGTTATCCACAGAATATTATATTTCCAAAACTTTCAATTATTTTTACTACTTCCATAGTGTTACAGGCCTGGAAAATGTGATTGTGAAATCCCATGACACATTTCTAGGTTTTACCATGACTGTGGGAGCCCTGTGATCACAGATGGTGATTTAAGTCACAAACCTGTCTGCCAACTCTGTCAGGAGGCGGCCACAGAGCGTCGTCTTCCTTGGTGATTTCACTGTCATCGATGATCCTCTTCAGCTCCTCCATCACACTTTTGTGTACATATGCCTGGGTTGGTACACAAAACAAAGAAGGACAGGGTTAAACTTTGTGAATGTTTAAAGCTGGGCCACACATTTATAACATCGAACTGACGTGAGCACCATTACATCTCTGACATACTAATTATTTCACTATAAAATGCGAGTTCTACAGTATGTGGGGACGCACACTAATATCGGAACGGAATCGGCCAACATGCTTTTTCTTATTTTGCAATACATACGTTGAAAGCACTGTATTTCATGTCTCCATCTGCTGGTGGACCATCATCATGAGACTATGCAGCATACTATGATTTTAATTCCATTACAGAGAAGACTTTCATCTCACTAAAGTTAGGTGGGGGAAAAAAGTGGCTATATCTATGTATATTGGTACCAGATATTGGCCAAAAAAATCCAGTCTTGTGCACCCCTAACAGTATGTGCTGTGTTTTCACTGAGAAATGATGAGTCTCTGCTTGGCTGATCATCATAATCAAGTCCCTTAATGAATGATCACAATCCCCCTTGTTGCATACAGTCCTTCATTCAAGCACTTCAACATCTTAAAGGTAAATTAAAGACATCATCTTTATGTAACAGTGCCATTAGTAAGTATGGTCTGAATGGACTGCAATGAAAGAAACCCAAACAGCATGGACTACAAATGATTCATGGCTAACTTTAGTTGCTCCAACAGTATTTTAATAGTTTCATAAACACACTTTACCTCTTTCCTGATCATGACGTCATTCTTGTAGTTGCTGTTGTTTGCATACCTCAGTTTACCTGCAAGAAAATATTAAAGTTACAGTTTAAATCTGAAACAATGCATCACTTGTAACACAGCTCGTGTGTGAGTTACCATCCATACAGGTCATACAGCGGTTAAACGCTCGGAGACTAATGTTTAATCCATTAGCGCATTTGTAATAAATATTTCAAAGGTACTTGCTCAGTCCAAACATAAACTTTTATCATTTATAACACAGAGGAAACCAAAGAGATCATTTCGCGCTCGCAATTCGTTTTGAGTTCGCTGCGGCCTGTTAGCCGCTACCGGGTGGCTAGCTACATTAGCTTAGACGCAGGAAAGCTAACACATTCGTATTAGCGCCAAATTAAACTCACCGTCAGGTCTGAATTCAAATTCCAGGAACTCGTGTCCAAACTTTCCCTTGTGTCCAACATAATACCTCAAATAGAAGTCGCTTGTTGACATCTTTACTCTCCAGAAAGCACTTCTTTTCTGGTGAGGTCTGAGGAACGAAACTCGGCTAGCAAGAGCAACCCGGAGCCTCGCGACACTTGTGCGCATGCGTGCAGGGTCTCAACGTTTCGGGGACTTTCGCGCCCCGAGATTTGTCTGACAGGAACCTTTTACTACATGTGGCTTACTATCCATGGATTTATTTTACCATTAATTGAATATATTCATGCACAGTTTTAGACCCGACATTTCCTCTGCATGCACTTTCTTTAAATGACATTTGAGTCAATATATTGTTTTCTGCATTTAGTCAGTTACCTGTTTGACACAAACTACCTCATTAATCTGTGTAAATGTACTTAAAATAGTATCATAATCAACTTTAAAGGGATAGTTCAGGTCATTTAAAGGAGGGCTGTGTGGGGTACTTATCCATAGTCGGTACATTACATACAGTAGATGTCAATCTGCACACCCCTGGTTTGAAGTCAACTTTATTTATATAGCATATTTCATATGGAAAACATAAACCCAATGTGCTTAAGATACATCATACATGACAAACATGAGATATCATATAAGATAATGAAATATTACATATGTATAAACAAGCAGGACATGATAAAAACAACAAAATAAGGTTTTATTTTCACTGCCACCAGAGTCCGTTGAGAAAACCCGTAATTTTACCTTGCTGAACACACGAGCTGCTGTTGTACCGCTGCTTCAGTCAGTTACTTAGTCTGTCTTATTGTGTGACTTTGGTGTATCTGAACTAAGCCGTTTAAATGCGAAAGTCACAAAATATCTCAAACAAATAAACTGAATGAAGCAGCAGTAGACCAGCAGCCCCTGTATACAACAGTGTTAAATTACCAGTTTTCTCAATGGAGTCTGGTACTGAAGAGAGCGATGAAACTGCTTAATTTTTCCTTTCAAAATCACTACCTGACATTAAAGTAAAGCAATGAAAATACTCTCAATATAGCATACACTTAAACTGATATTTTTTTTTTAGGTAGGACTTCTTTAAGTGGCTAAAATTTGTTTCGTTGCTGACCAAGCTCAGCCTGAAAGACGCTACCCAGGGCATTACTATTAAAAAACTCTTGGTGTCGTCGCATTTTAGTGACGTCATCCGTCTCCGCACTAAGAAACGGCTCTGGCCGCACTCCACGTGTGGTTGTTGTAAACTTTTAACCATGGCAGGCTCGTTTTCTCAGGAGCTCGAGGACTTGTTGAATCCTCAGCCGAAATTCGCAGATCCGGAGGATGATGATGACGAAGCGACCAAAGCCAGAGTGATAGAGAGGTTCACCGAGGAGGACGAGGAGGAAGATGGTGTCGGCCTCAGTGCCCTGCGGAAGCACAACACATCCCTGCTGTCAGACACGGACAGACGGTATGTGGGGAAGAAGGTGTCCCGTAAAGACCTGCTGATGGACATTGAGGGATCTGGTGGAGAGGAAGAGGAGGAGGAGGAGGAGGAGGAGGAGGGGGAGGAAGAGGAGGGCAGCATACAAGAGCTAGAATTAGATGAAGGGGAGGAATCTTTGGGTGATGAAGAGGATGATGATGAAGAGGAGTTGGTGGGCAGTGATGCGCAACTAGATGCTCAACTTTCATCTAAGAAAAGCGGTGCTGACGTCACTTTTCCTCAGGAAGTGGACTTTCTCAAAATGACAGAGGGCATGGATGATCTGGGAGTGAGCGAAGATGATGATGATGATGACAGTGGCGAGGAGATTGAAGGCAGTGATGAAGATGATGAGGATGAAGATGAGATGGAAGACGACGACGATGATGATGATGATGATGATGATGATGATGAGGGAGCTGTTCACACATTTTCTCAGGAGAAAGTGGACGAGGAGGTCGAGAAAGGGAAGGCTGTGAAGAACCAGCTGGCCTTGTGGGACAAACTGCTGGAGGGCCGAATCAAACTCCAGAAAGCTCTGGCGACCGCCAACCAGCTCCCGCAGCCGCAGACCCTCCCAGAGTTCAAGAGGAGAGGCGGAGCGGAGCTGGCGGGGCAGCTGAAGAACACCCACAAGGCTCTGAAAGCTCTCCAGAGATCCCTGCTGGAGCTGCACGATCAGCTGCTGCACCAGAACGCAGACACGAGGACCATCGCTCTGGGGGAGGCAGGAGCTCAGGGTGACGACGAGGAGATCGACAGTGATGAGGATGAAGAGGTGTCAGTGCAGGAGCGTGGGGCACCTAAACGAAAACTGGAGATGGCGGAGTACCCGGACTTCATGGCCAAACGTTTTGCAGCGTTCCAGCCTTACCGGAACGCCACGCTGCAGAAGTGGCATGACAAGACGAGACTAACGATGGGCAAAAGCAGCAAAGGTTTCGGGGCATTCGACAGAAACATTCTGACCCAGGTTGAGCAGGTGCTGCTGGACAATGAGAGGCTTGTGCGACGCACCCAGACCCGGCGCTCTGAATACAGAGTCCTGGGGAAACCAGAGGCCTCTGCTGTCACCTCTGAGACCGCCCCTGCAGACGGAGAGGAGGCGGAGCCGCAGCTGAAAGCAAACACACATCTAAAGGATCTGGACGAGGACATATTCGACGACGATGATTTCTACCACCAGCTGCTCAGAGAGCTGATCGAACGCAGGACGAGTGCGGCGGACCCCAATGACCAGGTGGCCATGGGCAGGCAGTGGCTGGCCATCCAGAAGCTGCGCAGCAAGATCAAGAAGAAGGTGGACACCAAAGCCAGCAAGGGGCGCAAGGTCAGATTCCACATCCACAGCAAGCTGGTGAACTTCATGGCTCCTATCGACCACAGCTCGGTGAGCGACGAGGCGCGCAGTGAACTGTACCGTGGCCTCTTTGGACAGAACTCCACAGTCAGGGAGTGACGTGGAGGAGGTGCTCATGTAGAGGACACGCTTAAGTGTCGAGATGTGAATGAAGCCTCTCCGCACATCGTCTGGAAGGATGGCGAGCAGCAGTTTGTGTTTGGACAGAGACTGAGTCTGCTCCCTGTCAGCAGAGGCTCCTCAGTTACGCTGAATATGGAGTCACAGGGCACACACAGCTCTTCATTTATACCTTTTATACCAGTATGTGTTGCATAATGAGCAGTTTGTGATAAAATATGCAATACATATGAGTGTAGGGCTGCAACAGTTATTTTCATTATTGATCAATCATTTTGTCAATAAAATATCAGAAAATAGTGAAATGTTTAATTTCCCAGAGCCCAAAGTGACGTCTGCTAATGATGTGTTTTGTCTATCAGTCCAAAAATCCAAAATTATTCAGAGAAGAGAATCTGTTCTTCTAAATGATCACAATTAAGAAACATGAAATCAGATTATCAAAAAAGCTGCCAGTTTTCTGTCGATCAGCTAATCGATTAACTGACTAATTGTTCTACATGCACAATGACTGTTAAGTGGATTTGAAGGGGGAAAAAATGTCTCATAATTCAAGTAAAGTGTGGACTTCAAATTACACGGCCTTTCTTTTTTTTAAATGGTGAACTGCCCTAACAGACATGTTGTGACCCAGTTCCACACCTCATACAAACTATATTAGGTACACTTAGTTTTTCCAGTTACAAGAAATCAGTGTACTGTGTTATACTGACAGGAAACAGGAAGTGATATCGCCCTGTAGAATTGCAGGTTTAATCTGTCACTGCCAATAAACTTCACACAGAAACACATCAAGTATCTCCCGATTAGATTCATTTCGATATCGGTTCGATAGGGGATATTTCAGTTGAATACCAACTTTTGCTTGAATGTGAAAGACTCTCAGAGAACTAATACTAATACCGTCTGTCCTGCATCTCTCTCTGTCTCTTGTGTCATACGGATTACTGTTAATTTATCATGTTGATCTGTTCTGTATGACATCTGTTGTACGTCTGTCCATCCTGGAAGAGGGACCCCTCCTTGTGCTCTTCCTGAGGACAGAGGGAGGTCGTATGCTGTAAAGCCCTGTGAGGCAAATTGTGATTTGTGATATTGGACTTTATAAATAAAATTGATTGGAATATTACAAGGAATTACTTTGGAGAAAGAATAATAGAGAATAAAAGAATAAATTCAGAACCGAATAAACACTGAATATTTCATAACTAAAAAGTCACAATATAACCTGAATATCTCACTGGAAACAAATCTAAAATGTCAATAAAATACATTTTATTCCTGACATCATCATACTGAGTGAAGGCTGCTGCAGCATCGTAATATAATGACTCCAAAACATAAAACGTCAGAGTTTCTCAATACTACAATCGTTAATAAATTAGTGCTGGGGCCCGTTTGCTACCGGCGAGACTAACGGGGTTAAAGCTTCACACATCATTGAGCAAAATCCTGTATTTAAAGATCAATCTCGCATTTTATGAATCGATATCGGGTCATTCAAATGAAGATTGATTTGAATCGTATGAATCGATTATTTTTACCCAGCCCTAATAATGACCATCAACATATACACACACCGCTGCCTCACACTGATTGTGTCCCAGTGTGAACACGCTGCAAAAAACCTGCTTAGAATCAGTGTGGATTTGGGACACAGGACTGAGGTCATGAGCGCAAGTTCCCCCAGCGACCCCCTTAACCCCCAAAATGTTGACCACACAGCAAAGCGGTATGGAATGCCATTTAAGTCTATAGTAAATAAATAAATAAATAATATGCCTATGAAATAAATTAACATAGTTGAGTGAATTAACATATTTAATAAAGATAAAGGAGTGCTTTTATGGAATTATGACAAAAGTCCCCTGAAATAAGCATAAGTGGTCTTTGAATTTTTATTTAATAAAAACACATTTATGTATTTATTGCCTCGTTTATTTATTTCAGGATTTATTTCCTTGCCATATTTATTTCATAGGCAGACATATTCATCAATATATGTATAATACTGATTTAAATTTAATAACTTAATATTTTGATTTTCACATATAATTTACATTTACATTTGATTTTCTGTAATTGCTTTTTCTCAACATAAAGGTCTAAATGTTGCTTTGCTACACTGCCAGGAATAAAATTAAACATTTATGTATTTTTATTTTCACAAAAATTGCAAAAAATACATAATCCATTTAAATAAATGGATTTAAATAAGGAATATGAGATAAGCTTTTCCCATAGCGGACATTTTGACTCATCATAGGCTGCATTCACTTTATATTACTTCAACCGCAGTGAGAAAAAAACACTGAAGCAGCCTTCAACTTGTAATTCAGAGTCAGAACAAAAAAAAATTAATTAAAAAAAAATCCATTATCAACACAATACAATAACTTAAAGGAGCTATACACTGAGTCTGTAACTGCTTTCACTGCTAATGAAGGACACATGCAAATTTAGGCTGTTTATCAGGTGTGGCTACAGGTTAGCAGTGGAGCTAACCACCTTGGACTTGGAATAATGAATGAACCTTGAACCTTTTCTTCAATATGGCACCAAGCACATGGCATTATTCTCTCAATATGCAGATTTATGAGTCAAACAGAAACAGAAAATGTCTTAAAAAACAAACATATATTTAAATCAAATACAAGGACCCGGACGTGACAGATGTGTCAGCTCAAGCAAACAAAGAGTACCTGAGAACTTTATCGTGAGAAAAATGTACACGGGAAGAACATTTACAGAACACATTTACATCGGGTTTCTCGTACTTAATGACATTTTACAGCTCAATGCATTCAGTAACACTGTTATCAGCGTGTCTTTGAAATGAAACCTGCAAACATCTGAGGATTCAAGTTCATGGGACTCAAAGGAAATCAATACTTTGTGGTAATCTAGAGCAACATAAACAGTTCTTTCTCTTAGCAACATCTGAATGAATTAGTTAAAGTAACGTCAGTGTCACACTGAAATAAAAATAAACATAATTAGTCCACAAAGACATTACAGAAAGTGATCTTTGGTGATGTTGTACATCTAATGGTTTGAGGTGGGAATCGGTTGTTTTAATTTGACTGATTCAGTTTAGGTTTAGACAAGACAAAGCAAGTGCAGCTCAGGGCGACATGACGCAAATATCCAAAGTCTTGATCCATTAGTACATCGTTTTGAAAATCTATTCATACAAGTCAAAAAATGCTTTACACTGAGCCTGGAAACAAAAGAAGAAGTTGCATTGATAAAGGGAATTAGTCACCTTAACGGTAGTGAGTTTGGGTAAGGCCCTGCCATTGAACAGCGTGTTGCTACACTGCGTTTATTGTATGGTTAAAGGCTATCAAGTGTGTTTTAGACACCATAACTGCTTCTGTAGTTAGCTTCAGTGCGGTGGTAAAGGCAAGCAGCAGTTTGAAATTAAATTACAAGTTAGCCCCTTTGTTTTTCTCCCTCTTCCATCTCATACAGTACACAAGCTACAGAGGAAAATATAACTGAACACAACCTTTAAACCAGATCCACAAACAGATGGTTCCCCTTCAGTCCAAACTGAATCATATCAAAAAGAGGCCTTTTGATTTCCTGGCTTTACTCTTGCTTTGTTAGCCACAGCGCAGAGCCTGTTCGGCACGTACAGGTGAACCGTCTTTCGTCTCCGGGGAGTGCTGCGCTCAGTGGGGCCGACTGCTTGACTCCATGTTTGGCTGCTTCTTTGCAGTTGCACAGCCGTTAAACCAACCGTTCAGCCGTTTGGTCAAACCGCCGTTTAAGATGTCCTGGATGTGCTGAACTATGAGATTTATCGCAACTGTGTGAAAAGACAAAGAGAGAGCGTGGTAAGGTTTAGCCCCCGTTAGTGTCTCTGATGTATTTCTAAACAGTGATATTTAAATAAACTCACTACTGTTTCATCCACTGCAAAACATTTCTAACCTCTAAGTCCAATGAATGTATGGGAAATACTGATGTTTCTTTCTAATATTTTGTATTTTCGTTTTGCTGTACACAGTGGTGCAGTGGTTCAGTGGTTAGCATTGTCACCTCACAGCAAGAGGATTCCTGGTTCGAACCCAGGGTGGGGGAGCCCTTCTGTATAGAGACTGAATGTTCTCTCCGTGTCAGCGTGGGTTTCCTCCAGGTACTCCAGCTTCCTCCCACAGTCCAAAGACATGCAGGTTAATTGGTGACTCTAAATTAGCCATAGGTGTGAATGTGAATGTGAGTGTGAGTGATTGTCTGTCTCTATGTGTCAGCCCTGCGATAGTCTGGTGACCTGTCCAGGGTGAACCCCGCCTCTCGCCCAATGTCTCCCCTGTGACCCAGGATGAGCAGTTACGGAAAATGAATGAATGAATGTACAAAACAAGCAACGGACAAACACTGTCCTTTGACCCCACTTGCACATGGTTCTCACACATGGAGGTGGCTAAACCAGCAGCTAGGAGCTAACGGTGCTAACATGGTGAATATCTGGCTATAAGGCTGTGATGACGTCCTGTCTTTACTCCAACTTTACGTTTTTTACACAGAACCAAAATGATTTTAGATAGCAGAAGCAAATAAAGGTGATGTGTAACACACAGCATCTGCCTCTGGTGTGACATATAACAAACAATAACAATGGCATACTACGACAGTCGGTACGTTTACATGAAAAAAAAAAAAAAAAAATGGACAGTTTAATTCCACTTTCATTTGGAATGAAAGGCCATTCCGATTAAAAGTGGTCATGTAAATGGTCATTCTGATTGAAAATTAAATCCAATTAAAGGGGGTGGTTTATTCCGTTTGTCATTCCGAATGAAAGAATTTCTCGCACTTGTATACACTCATTCCTCAAGTTCATTCCGGTCTTTCTGCGCATGCTCGTTTCCTTGCCCTTCTGGCGCGATGACGTATAGCGCGTGTAGCAACGGGCGGATATAGAGCAGTCGGGCTCGTTGCACTCACCAGTTTCCATACGCCAAAGCACGGTCTTCTGTCTCCCTTCTTTGACCTTCTACCTCCCTTCTCCTCCTCAACAGACGAAGCATTAGCAGAACAAGATTGTTGTCGTACTGCTGCTTCCAGAATATAAGCAAAACAAGCCCGAAAAACGCACTACGAACGGCGTCATCATGCATCTTGTTATCCGGAGCGAGGACTACAGTGTTTTCTTCCGGTAAACGTAAACACGTAACATCCACCCCGCCCCCTATCCAATCAGAAACCTTCCCTGCCCCAAACCTTGCGCGGACCCGAATAAAGACGATTAAACTGATCTCCCGTGTAAACCCTCATTCGGAATGAATATTTCTCATATAAACTACCTGGAAAGACTTTAATTCTGAATGATTTCATTCAGATTTATTTCATTCTGAATGAGTAGCCAATGATAATCATTTACTGTCAGTGTTACATGGTGGCTGAGCTCGTCCTCTGCTCGGAGGGTAAGGAGTTCCCGGACCTCACCGTCTCCTCCATTAGCGGGCATTTTCAGCTGCTGTTCTTCTTCAAGTTAGCTGCTAACTACTATTAGCTGCTCTTTAAATCTCCCGGCGGTGCGACGCACACATAACACGCCATCAAAGCTTCACATCTGCCCCGTCTGCGGTCCCCTCCTACCAGCCACCCCTTTTAAACAGATGTCGATTTGGCCCTGTAACTACCTTTGCTGCCAGCTTAATGGCGAGACAACCCTGCCCGCCCGTTCTCTATCTCTACCCTCCGAGCAGAGGACAAGGTCAGCCACCATAAAATACAACAGGAACAGTAAATGATTGAAATTGTACCTTTTTATTAAGAATGGCGAGTAGAATAACAGCATGACATTCCTGCCTTGATCAGGCAGTGTAAAAGGGGCTAGTATTAACATGTGGAGAGAAACCAGAGGGTAGAGAACAAATAAGTCCGCATGCCAAGCAGCTTCCGTTTAGAAGGATTTAAATGCGGAGTGACGTTTCGAGCCCACAGCTCTTTTCTCAAGAGTTTTAAAAAACGACAGGTCGATATCTTAAATACCCATAGTGCCACCTGAGCCAATCATGTGACATGCCACACCTGTTGCCCATATGCACCTAAAAACTTTGCATTAAAATTCTTCTAAACAGGAGCTGCTTGGCGTTCAGACTTATTTGTTTCTTACTTTGCCAGACGTTTCTTTGGTCCAGCACTCACTCCATTGAATGTTGGGATGTGCGTGTCTTTTGTACTGTTTTTGATGGAACCAGAAGGTGCCATCCTTGACATGAAATTTTGTACAGACAGTCATGGTCCCCAGAAGCTTAATTCTAATGTTGTTGATGATCCTTTTCCTTTTTCTCTAGCACGAACATCGAGTCAAAATTTCAATTTATCCATTGAGTTGTTTTATGACTAAATTGCTGCAAAACTAGTCTGTGACTTCAATGTAAAGGTCATATGTGGGAAGCACAATGGAGGCCAGGTCAGGGCAGGTGTCCTGATTGAAGATATTTAGACCGACTATCGACCGTACAGTTTTCCTTTGTGCAATGTGTTTTGGATGTTCTAAAGTTCTTCTCTCAAATCAACAGACAAAGCTGTTTTGTATTCAGCAGCAGAGGCTTTTGGCTTCCCTACTTTTGAGAGCACAATTCCCAGCTCAAAGGCCAACAATAAACACAGCTGTGTCCTTTATGATAACACTGTTGAGGCTAATGTCTCAAAATATTTTTCCAAGTTCTTCTCTATCGTCTCCGAGCTCCGAAAGCACTAATACTCACCGAGATTGTCAACTCCTCTCGGTATGATCACATCAGCATATTTCTTCGTCTAAACAGCGTCAACAGAGAGGACAAATGTTTGACTGTGAGTCGATGCTCAGGGACACAACCACGCAAGTAATTTGAGTACATGTGGGATAACACTTACTGGCAGGCAGAACTCCTCAAACGCAGGCTTGACAAACATGATGTACTGTGCTAGAACGCTTTCCAGGTCCCGTCCACGGTCACTTATATCCCGCAGCACTGGGGGAAAATGAGACCAGGGAAAAGCTCAGCTATCTTTAATTAATGTCTTTCCTCTTGTGTGTAGAAACTGAAGGGATCTGTCTGGTCATGCTCGTACATCTCACCTCTTCGAGACAGACGTGTGTCTGCGTCAGTGTCCACAAACAGCTTCATCTGAAAAAGGTCCCTGATCTCCTGAGAGTAAAACATCAGGATGCCCTCGAACAGCACCACGTCAGCAGGGTACACCGTCACTGTCTCTTCCTTCCTGTCATACAGGAGACATTCAATATAAACATACTTAGTGTGCCTCTGTAGCATTTGCCTTCATCTTTCAGAGTTAATTATTCATTGTTCCAGTGCAGCACAGGGAAAACAGTAAAACTAGAGATTAAAGGGACCATAGCCGTACTTTTGCATGTTTTAGTCTGTTTACTTTTCCATAGTTTACTGTGATGTTTCAGACCTTCAAATGCATTCTCTGCCTCTAAGGCACCTATTGGTTCCCATTCATTTTATCATTATGCTATGAAAATCGATTTAAGTAAAATTAATTATTAATTAATCCACCACAGTGGACATTATATCCTCTTTTACAGTTAATGTTACCACCACATTATGATGCATTAGAGACCTCTTTTACAGCCCAGTTGTGAGAAGAAAATGTTGCCATTTTATGTTTCTGCAAACCATGAAAATATTAGACTTACACTTTTTATACATATCTTATTATCGTTTATAAAGTGACATAGTATATGCGCTGGCTTTGTCATCAGGAGGTGGAGGGGGTAGTGGATGGTGGGACACCGCGGCAAACTGTAGACCACTGTTGACGGTGAGTCATTGCTGTGTTTCCAGCAGCATTTAAGGCACCAAACGTGGGTGTTTCTTTAGTGACTCATCGCTATTTTTTCCTGTGGCTTTTAGGCCCAAAACAGATGTTTTTTCAGGACCCGTCACTGTGTTTCCAGCAGCATTTAAGGCACCAAACGTGGGTGTTTTTTTAGGGAACCATCACCATTTTTCCTGTGGCTTTTAGACCCCACACAGGTGCTTTTTAAGGTCTCATTGCTGTGTTTCAAAAGTCTTTTAAGGCAGTCTTTTAAAGTCTTTTCCTTACCATAACCAAGTGGTTGTTGTGCCTATAACCAGCCACAACATAATAATGTACAAATATAATGTACACATGGTTTGCAGAGACGTACTATGCCAACATTTTTTTTATAGTGCCTGGGCTCAAACATGCAAATACTCCTTATGTTGTCTCTCTGTGCAGCCTATCTGATGAGATTCATTCACCTGGAATGGGAAACAAAGTCATAAACAGGGATGTGGACGGTTTTTCCCTCCTTGATGTCCCACAGAGTCGCGATTATGAGATCGTTGTCGAAAGCATCTGTACAGAAGGAAAAAGCACAAAGCAGTTAAAATGATTTCTCTACAGCAGGATAAATTATCATCAGCAGGCAAACCTCACATTATGATCCTGAGTCACATACAGATTAACTGCTGGAATCGCCTCTGAATAAACAAGGCAAATGTTTCCCAGCAGGAGACACACAGCTGTTTCAGGCCAGAGGACGTCTGTCCTTGGTTACCCTGCCGCCAGATGATACATTAACACAGCGAGGCATGTGATGAAGTCAGTGATACTGACATACCTGGGTGGTCAAAGTTGAACTGGCCCTTGAGTGCCTTGGCCTTCTGCTCTGGGGTGAGGACCCTGTAGAAGCTGTCTTGGCTGAGGATGGCCACTTGCCGCTGGTGGTGGTCGATCTCGTTCTGGCCCAGCAGCTCCATGATCTTGCCGCACACCGACGACTTGCCGAACAAGACGAACAAAACAAGTAGTGTGAAAAAACACTGGCCTCCGTTATCTTACTCACCACATCCTTCCGTTTTTGGAACTTAAGTGGCTGTCTGTACGAATTACACCGACACCTAAACTTTCATTTATACTTTACATTAAGTTCATGCATGTCGCTGTGTCCTGAAAGCATAACTCAATGTTTTCTTAGATCTCTATTTAAAGGCTGCAAACTTGGATTCTTGACATCATATGTGAAGCTGGCAGACAGCCACACTCAACAGACACTCACAAACCCAAAACATAAGATTGCTGTTTACTCCACATTCAGAGAACATGTGTGGGAGAACAGGTGGTTCTGTGAGCAGTTAGTCTTATGGGAAAAAGGGGCCACAGCACAAAGAAGTCACACCCACAAACAACTGCCTGCTGAACCACAACCACAACATTTTGTAGCTTTAATCACCTTTAAATCAACCTACATACACCTACATAACTCAAGTAAAGGAACAGGCTACTTAATTATTAATACAGGTTTTAATCTACGTAATTCACTCCACTACCTCTCTGAAGTTTCAATAAACACGTTTTTCACATATTAAGAAGATGAAAGAGAGACTTTGATTTCGCCTCGGGGCGTCCTGCATCCTGATGATCTACTCTGCAAAAAAACTGTGCAACAAAATATAAAACTAATTCACCCGTTACTGTGGAAACCCATTCCCACCAGTGTGATGATAAGTTATTAAAGTGAGAAGCTTCCTGAAAATAATGACTTGGTATCGTTTCTCATTATTTTGAGATGTCATGTTGATATTTTATTTTAGTTTCTTGTTATACTGAGATTCAAACTTGTTGTGTTGTGAAATCTTGTCATTATTTCAAGATATTAAGTTATTATTTTAAGATTAGGGGGTCAGTATACTGAGAGCTTCTCATTAATGTGAGATATTAAGTCATGATTTTGAGAAATCTCATTATTTTGAAATAAGTGTCAATATTTTCAGAAAGTTTTGCATTATTTTGAGATACTGAAATAATTAAGTCCATATTTTGAGAGTTTCTCATTATTTTGAGATAGTACGTCATCATTTTGAGGATTCTCATATTTTTAGAAATAAGTAAGTCACTATTTTGAGATAGACACGTCCATATTTTGAAAAGGTTTTGCATTATTTTGAGATACTAAGTCATTTTTTTCAAAATAAAGTCAATATTTTGAGAAAGTTTCACATTATTTTGAGATACTGACTCGTTCTCCTGAGAAATCTCATAATTGTGAAATAACTAAGTCCATATTTTGAGAGTTTCTCATTATTTTGAGATAGTACGTCATCATTTTGAGAAATCTCGTATTTTTGAAATAAGTAACTATTTTGAGAAACCTTATTATTTTGAGATAGATAAGTCCATATTTTTGAAAAGGTTTTGCATTATTTTGAGATACTAACTCATTCTTCTGAGAAATCTCATTATTTTGAAATAATTAAGTCCATATTTTGAGAATATTTCACATTATTTTGAGATAGTATGTCATCATTATTTTGAAATACGGAAGTCAATATTTCAAGAGTTTCTCATTTATTTTAGATACTATGTCACTACTTTGAGAAATCTCTTTTTTTAAGATAAATAAGCATATTTTGAGAAAGTTTCACATTATTTTGAAATACTACTGACTTGTTTTGAGAAATTTCGTTATTTTGATGTACTAAGAAATAATTTTTACGATACTATCTCACTGGATGTGGCTGTGGCGCAGCCGAGGGAAATATTTATATGGGCACTATTATTATGGACTGTGAGTGGACATTTACAGTCGTGTGGTTGGAATCTGACAAGTTCACTCCCATGTCATGTTAATACTGTTATTTTGATTTACCTCAGTTTATTGTTTTTGTCATTGTTTATCATTTTCTTCTCATCTCTTTTTTCCCTTTGCCTTTTGAGGTGGTTCATTAGCTCAAGAAAGTTTCTCAGTGTCATGACTCACGAGATCTTTTTTATCCCCAATCACACTGGCAGAAATGGGCTTCCATACATTTCTGATCTTTAAAAGAGAGCAACACTTATCGACGATACTTGGAAACCTTTGAAACACTGCACAATATCAAATACAGTATCAAGAATGACAATGCATATATTTACCTTACAGCACACTGCAATACCTGCATCATCAACCACCTGCATTTAGACTACCACCATTGGCATATCTATCACAGTAACAGCTCTGTGTAGCCGTCCTGGGACCAGACTGTCATTATACTGCTGTGTTGTCAGTCTTATAAATATTCTCTATCTGTCTGTCTGTCTGTCTGTAGCTTCTCTCCATGACAGTGAAGACATAAGTGTAATGCCAATGAGCCAGCCGGTGAAATGAGGTGAAGTGAAAAAATCTAGAGGGAGCTAGACAGAAGCTGCATCAGAGTCACAAAGAAGAAAAATCCAGACATCAGCACCAGGAAAAACAATACACATCATGATAACATAAAAATAAATAATCTTCAGGCCATATTTTACACTGGTATTTGATATTTATAAATATATGACCTGCAGACAGCAACATGCTTTAATAAAATAGCCAGATTCTACTTGGTTTGGTCAGACTGGTGAGTGTTTGGAGCTTTTGAGTATTTTTTTAATTCAAAATAAAATTCAATTAATCATTTAAGGTCTAATAATGTATTTTTTTAATATCTATCTAATGTTCATGAGCCTATAGCAGACCCTGCACAGATGATGCTAATTAACTGAAGGTTCATCTTTTTTACTATGATCGTTGTTACCTTTTATATCTTAGGGTGACAGATGTACAAACACAACAGCAATATATGGGAGTCCTTCAGTCTGATTCCCATTTGTAATACTAACCTACTTTATTAACCATTTCAGGAAATGCAGTGTTTGGACATGCTGTAGGGCGGCCTGCTCCACAGTGATCACTGATAAAGCAGCGCAATAACTGATCCCACAGAATCAATAACCTCAGCTATTATTATTATCCAGAGGGAAAGAAGCGCGTCATCTTTAAAACAGAAAAAAACATATCTGTGTCGGTTCACACAGACAGTCTGATACAATAAATACCTGATAAATACATATAAAAACATAAAAACAATCTATTATGATTTAAATACAGACCTTGCCGCTGGCTGTGCCTCCGGCCACACCGATGAGGAAAGGCTGCCGGTTAACGGTCTCATTTTCGGCTTGGTCACCTGGCTTTGTCTCGCTGTCGCCTGCCATGCTTCATCTGCAGCGCGCTGCGGCCCTCTGACACACAACCGGCGGTGCCTGCGCTCCTCGTGCGCTCCTCCCATCTGATGATGGCGAGGATGACGGGGCTGACGTTCACGGGCACGGAAGCAGTGATGATGATGATCTGATGATGTTTAGAAGGATGATGATGATGAAATCAGAGTCGGGTGAATTACATGTAAAAATGTTGGTCAGTAATTGTTAAATTTCAAACTTCATGTTAATAAAATTCAATTAATCATATTTCAACATGTATTTTTTTTTATCTACTCTGTGTTATGTATGACCTTATCAGCCAGAACATTCAAACCACTGACAGGTGAAGTGAGTAACTTTGTTTATTTTGTTCCAGTGCATTGTTCTGCTGGGAAACCTTTGGTTCTGGCATTCATGTGGATACCACCTGACATGTTCCACCCACTCAAACACCGTTGCAGACCAAGTCCCCCCCCTCATGGCAACAGTACTCCCCAATGGCAGTGGCCCCCCAGCAGGATAATGCAGCATGCCACACTGCAAACATGGCTCAGGAATGGCCCAAGGAATGTGACAAAGACCTCAAAGTGTCAACCTGGCCTCCAAATTCCCCAGATCCCAATCTGAATGAGCATCTGTGGCACGTGCCATTAACCCACCTCACAACCCACTGGACTAAATGGATCTGCCGCCAACGCACTGGTGCCAGACACCGCAGGACACTCCCAGAGATCCTGTGTCCATGCCTCAACAGGTCAGAGCCAAGTCCAATCCAGGGAGGCCCCACCTTGGATTAGGGGTACATCTGGGGCACATCACAAGAATCCTTGAGCAGATTGGGACCTGGGAAATTTAGAAGCCAGGTCGACACCTTGAGCTTTTTGTCACGCTCCACAGGCCATTTCTAAACAGTTTGTGTAGTGTGGCATGCTGCTTTTTTCTGCCATTGGGGAGTACTGTTGCCATGAGGGGGGGGGGTACTTGGTCTGCAACAGTGTCTGAGTGGGTGGAACATGTCAGGTGGTATCCACATGAATGCCAGAACCAAAGATTTCCCAGCAGAACAATGCATTGGAACAAAATAATCACTTATTCACTTCACCTGTCAGTGGTTTGAATGTTTTGGCTGATCGGTGTATTTTGAAAAGCAGAGGTCGTCACATGTTTATCCTGGGTTGAAAAGATGTCCTCCAATGAATGATCTGAGAAAAGTCAAATCAAACATTACTGCAAGGTAATAAAACATAATATAAAATCATTAGTGAACAAATAGGCCTAATATTTTTACTTTATTCATTCATTCAGTCTAGAGGCTACTTTATTCATATTTTGGTTATATTGTGTGCAGAACTAAAGTAGTGTAAAGAGCAGATATGGTTGTCAGCTCTTCTTTGTCCAGTCATTCCCAATTTCTGCAATTCCAAGATTGTTCAGGGACCCCAGTACACAGAAACTCACCCTTTAAAACTCCAAAGTCTATGGTTTAGCTAATCCTTAGTCTATGGTCTAAGGATGAGCTAAACTCTTCATTCCCCTTTCTTCATTATTTCTATTACCATAGGCTACTTGACATAAATGCATGTATTATTGTTTTTACGTGCACGTCGCTCTGTCATTTACGGTAATAAAGTCCAATAACCCCCCACATCAAAATTCAGTCTCAAAATTACTCTGACTAAATTAACACCTCTATGACACAGCGTCGGTTATGATAAAAATAGACAGTTTGTATAATAGAACAAACGCATTGTTATGTAACATATATATTATTTTATTTCAAAATATTCAATATTTTTTTCTGCTACGGTCGCTGAACCGGAAGTACTTTTCCCATGTATGATCTCTTCGCTAATGCTGACACAGCCCTCTCAGACCCATGTAATGTGCCCATGCTGTAACCTCTAATAACAAATTAACTGTTTCTCTCTGCGGTCGGATAAACGGGGCAGTAAACGGGACGCCGCCACCATGAGCACCATGTTCGCAGACACGATCCTGATCGTGTTCATCTCTGTCTGTACGGCGCTGTTGGCCGAAGGTGAGCGAAATCCTCCTGAGAGCTTAAGCAGGAAAGCACGTTAACTTCCGTCAAAGAGACACAATGATACACTAATTTTTTACACCATTCTGGATTACACATCAGGGAGATATTGTTTACGTTATTAAATTTGTTTAATTGCTACTTTTGGTGGGTTTGAGGACCGGCTACTTATGCTAGCTAGCCAATGAATTTAGCCAACGAAGCTAATGCATTCGACAGCGCAAGGGATACAACTTCCGGTTATACTTTCACAATAACAGTCTAACGAGAAGCTTATTCGTTATTTATAAATTATGGTTTATTTACTTTTTGGCTCTGGAAATATGTCCTCTGCGTTTGACTCTAAAATATCCGTGGTTTGACTCATCATAATAAAGGAGAATATACGTTTGTTTTTCGCTACGATATGATAAGATAACCTTTACTGACCCCCAGAGGGGAATTCAGGAATTGCAGCAGTGCATAGACAGAAATAAGTACATTAAATATAGAGAAGTAAAGGATACAAATAAGACTATATCAAAACAGGGGTGTACACAACTAGTGTAAGAGTAGAAGTAAATTATGATTAAATACTAATAAACTTTGTTTATATAGCACCTTTCAAAACACAGTTACAAAGTGCTTTACAATAAAAACCAGAACACATTAAAAAAACAATGAAATGAAGAACAGCTAAACACAAGGTACATAGTTAAAAACAGGGTTGGATTACATTAAAATTGGGGATGCGTGATATTGGATTTTTTTTTTTTTTTAATGACGCTTTTCATTGAAGGATAACTGCACACCCTCCCCATCTCCTCCTGCCCCTACCTTGAAAGTCCACAGAGATACAGGTTGAACACACAGTGACACTGATTCCATATTTTAAAAGCTGCAGTAAAAAAAAGGGGGACAAGTAAATAAAATAAAAGAAAGGACAGGAAAAAAGAGAAGGTCTTTTGAGTAACAGTGCTTGAGAGTGAATAGCAATAATGTACAATTACATAACATTTTGAAGGCTATTAAAATAAATTGCCATTTCTAATAGAAACCGTCTTCAGAGCCCCTAAGAGTGAATTTTATCTTCTCAAGTTTGAGAAAAAAAAACCCTGGTCTTTAAACCAGACAGAGGATAATGGGGGGTCAGCGGACTTCTATTCTAGCAAAATCTTTCGACAATCTAATAGAAATGCATACGCCGCTATATCAACTTGTCCGGCGCCTTTACTCGTGAGGTCTTCTGGAATGTCAAACAGTGTTATGAGCATGGGTGGTCCAAATCCTTTTTTAAAATTTCAGCTAAGGTTCCAAAAATGTAGGCCCAGAAGCTCTATAGTTTGGGACAAAGATAAAACATAAGCATAGTATATAAATAAATTGGTCCAACAGTTGTAGTTTTATTTTATTTAAGTTAATATGACTTTGACTGTAGGAATTAACTCTCCGTTCTCAGAGTTCTCAGAATAGGGTTTTCCTAACCTAAGAACCAGGCGAATCTGCAAACTCATGCTCATTAATTTGTCAGGCTAGGGTGGAGGTTTGCCACCTCCATAAAACTTGGTTTGTAGCTTGATAAAAAGTGTTTTTTTTAATCCTCCCTCTTCTTGCTGCCCAGATGCAGTGGAAAATTACAAGACTTCACTTCAAAAGTTCAGCTGCAGAAAATCAGACCATCAATATCCCTGTCATTTAGGATTCATGATTGTCTTGTGCATTTGAATTTCAACAGGTTTAAATTGTAAATTAAGTGCAGTTTATCATCTGACTTTTAAATCTGCTTTGACAGAAAACAAACCAGTTACAGTTTCTAATTTGCCTCAAGTTGATCACCACTCTTTATTGGCATCACTTACACACAACTCCAGGATGACAGTGTCGCACTAGGAGTGTGCAGTGTGTATAAACTTCTCAATGACAGTGTGTGTAATTAAACATTGTGTTTTCAGTATGTTTGATGATACAGTGACTTTTCTGTGAAATCTGAGAAACTGCGTATCGACACAACAGTCACAGAAATGTCTGCTGATGCAATAAATAAAATATTAGACACTGGAGATGTCTGACAAAACATCTTGTCCTGATTGTCTCCTCAGGGATTACCTGGGTTTTAGTGTATCGCACTGAAAAGTACAAGAGGCTAAAGGCTGAAGTGGAAAAACAGAGCAAAAAACGTAAGTGGCTCGCGTGATTTCTGCATTGATTGTGTCTCTTTGGACTGTCTGATGCATTCTCTGTTGCTTGTTTGATATTAGTTGAAAAGAAAAAGGAAACCATCACAGAATCTGCAGGACGTCAACAGAAGAAAAAAATTGGTAAGAATACATAAGTTCTCTGCGTCTATGAAATACCCTTTTCCTTTTTTCGTCACACTGACGGTGTTCTGTAACACGTGACCTCTGCTTCTGAATGTCTTACAGAAAGACAAGAAGAGAAACTGAAGAACAACAACAGAGACTTGTCTATGGTGAGAGACATTTGTAATGTTCAGGCTTCAAATCCATCAACTGTCATATAAATAAGATCATGTTCATGATCGTCATTTCTCAATGTAGTTTAGAATGGATATTGTGTATTAACAGGCTTACCTTCACTTTATATGTTTAATATTAAACAATTCTGTGATATTTGAATGTTGGTAAAACCAAACTCAAGTCAAGTGTCACCAAATTTCAATTTTCCATTTTTAATCTTGTGCGTTTGTTTGTAGGTTCGCATGAAGTCCATGTTCGCCATTGGCTTCTGCTTCACAGCTTTGATGGGCATGTTCAACTCCATGTAAGTTACACGTAGTGACATCGGGTTGATGCGAGATCTTCCTCTTTTAATATAAAAAAACCGACGTAAATAGATTATAACAATTGTGCCTACGAGCTCTCATATGCATCTGTGTTTTTGTTTTTCAGCTTCGATGGAAGAGTTGTGGCCAAATTGCCGTTCGTGCCGCTGTCCTACATCCAGGGTCTTTCACATCGCAACCTGCTGGGCGAGGATTACACCGACTGCTCCTTTATCTTCCTCTACATCCTCTGCACCATGTCCATCAGAC